TTATCATTGTAGGGTACCCAGATGTTGCTCGAGATTAGGTTGATAGGTACTATATTTTCGATGATATTCATTGCAACTGAGCTCCATGGTTTAACGATTTTAAGTCGCACATCTGTGTGTGAAGCTGTTTCTCTTAACACGTCAAACAATGGGTGACTTTGCGTTGTCGCAGCTCTGACAAGTTCTTTTCCGGCTTTTAGATTGTACAGCTGCTTGATTGAATAAAATCCTAAGTAATACTTTAGGGCTTCGCCAGAAGTTTTCTGTGCTGCACCACTAATTACCCTCAGTGCCTGATTTAGTAGCATATCCATTCTCTTGAATTGATTGTCAGAAATTGGACAACAGACATGTAGCCCATACTCTAATCTACTCAATACTGTTGACCGTACCAAGCTCACAAGGCTGTTCAATGTGATGTTCTGACAAGCTGCATAGCGAATTACTCCAAGAGCTTTCTTTGCTTTCCTGATGTTATTACTAATGTGTCCTATCATGCTGAGCCTGCTATCGATTACCACACCAAGATACATAATTTCCAACTCCTGTCTTACTTTCTCTCCTGCATATTTAAGTGCTAGATCATCACGTTCAAAATGTCGTAATGAAACCATCATCCAACATACTTTGTCTGGCTGAATTCTCATATGATTGTTATTTGTCCACTGCTCTAATCTTGCGCATGCATACTGAAAAGTTTATTAGAATAGATATTCTTAGTAAATCTTGTTTTGCGTTTCTGTCACTGCAGGAAAGTATTCTCATTATGATGGTGGCTATTCACACACACAAACTTCGCAAAAACATCAAAGCAATTTTATTTTAACACAATGGAAAGTGACTGAGAGACAAATGAGATCAATTTGGACTTCAAAACCGCTTTGAAGTTATGTTTGGATGTAGCTCGGGGTGGTCGTTGATAAGTTAATTGAGGCACAATTCATAAGAAAGGCCCCAGACTCGTATCTCTACTGAGACGTCCATAGTATTAATGTCTATTCAGTTCAATACCGAAAATAATCCTCCAATTTATCTTTTTTTTAAGCTTCATAAGTCTTTCAGGGGAAAACACATGTGTGGTCGATTTACTAACAGCCTAAACAGCTCTATTTTGAATAAATTATGTCTGCTGTCTAAATTTCATTTTTTTTCTGTTATTATAAAAGGACTGATAAAATCTAGAAATTGATTATTCTGATTGAACAGGAAGATTAATCAAAGTTCAGTCTACGTTGCTTTAAATTTACTGAGAAAATTGGATACAAACGATACAAAAATGCGTCTTTGTGTGATTCGGACGATTTGTATGGAGGCAAGGCCTAAGAACGATATCAAATGAATTGCACAAACACGTTTACAAGGCAATGCTGTAACCAGGTGATGTCCTTTGGTACACGGATCCAGCCATGACTTTGCAAACATTACGTCATTCAGAACCAACTTTACACGTCCTATTATGATGTAATGACTCCTAACATCAAATGATCATCCAGGGGTGCATCCGAGGTAGGTGCTTGGGGTGCGAACGCACCCCCCCTTTTTTGACGACGTATTTTTTTAATATATCAGCATAAACGTTGTTTTCTGCTGTTTATACTCCTGTTGTACTTTCATCGAGAAAACGAGTAGCATCAGACAACATGTGTCTGCCACTATGCTGCTTAACAATCCATTCAGAGTAGTGTAATCAAAGATACGTTGCAATAAAAGTCAACTTGCTTCTGGTCAAATTGTGCAAAATTTTCTTGCTCTAGACAATAATGATCAGTTCCATATATTACTGAAAATAGCACCCCCCTTATAAAATGCTGGATCCGCCCTTGTATCTACTATTTTTGTGCGCTTTCTCGCTACCATATGTAATAGGGTGACGGTTTGTCGTATGAACAATATTATTATGAAAAACAGTTTATATACATTTGTTATATTTGGGACACCTCTTACAATTTTCTGGAACCGCACAATCTACAATTAAAGTGCACATGACCTCATTAGAAATTCATTCTCATCCAAAAGAGAAAATGCTGCTAAGCACATCGATGAAGAAAGAAATTGATTTTTAATTGTATTTTCTAAGATATGGGCAATTTTCGTTTCTGTTTTTCATTGTACGTTTAGTCTCCTCTACTTCTAGAAGGATTTGTCGTACGACTTCTGTATATGGTTGTACGTGGTGCTAATGTACACATAGAAGGCGCTCGAGTACATGTGGAGAAGAACTCGTAAGTTACTAGACGCATTTAGAGCGTGAAGTCGGGCTAGCTATTTTGGAAAATTGAGAAAGACAGGATCTTACTCCTGACTCAATATTTTTAGTATTTTGATGTCGTTGCGCCAAGCTGTCAAAAAAGGATATGGAGGGTGAATAAATACTTTAGAATTTATTAATTAATTAATAATCAATTTTAGAATTTATTAATGAATTAATAAACAAACTAGTGAAAGTAATGCATTATTGTTTTCATTATAAATTTTAGAAGTAAAAAAATTATTATTATTCTATGCCATCACTTTACTTCCATATCTTTTTTTTTTTTTTCAAATTTGATCTTATCTTGTTGAAAATCTTTCACTTATTGGCTTATCAAGGTGAAATCGCTGATGTGTTTTATTTTTGTGTCATTTCTGAGGAATTTAATAAAAAGCCATCACACGCTGAGGAATAACTCAGTTGCACAGACATTCCTTGGTTTCAATGATTATTATTTATAGGGAAGGAGCATTTTTTACCACAATTATCACTTTTTCATTTCACACTGATCTAACTTTTAATAACCATTTAGTTACAGTACATACTATGGCACAATTAAGTGTTTAGACATGGTACAGTATACCCATCAGCATTCCATAAATCAAACCTTCTGTTCAAGTCCTTCAGTTTCAGGTTTTTCAGAGTTATTACTAACAAAAAATAAATAATTACTCACCATGCACTTACAAAAACCTAATTTCGTATGCAAATTATGCTTTTTTAAGAATAATTATGGCAATATCTACAACTGACACAGGAATCTCGAGTTTTTTCCTCTGTTCTGATGTTGACCTGTAGTTTTAGGCCACAATAATCACTAGAGCAGCTGATATAGTGTATTTTTTCTGAGTTTATTAACTTAGACCATAAATGCTTGTGATTCTTTATATCAATACAAGTAAAGACATTATATTTTGATTTAGCATATTCAAGATACTAGTACTTCAGCTAAACATGCAATTTTATTATTTCTGTATTCTTGTATTTTCTAAAAGATTTACATAAAATGACCTTTTTATATTTCAGGCTTCGATATTGCTATAAAAATATTAATACATCATATTCATCAATTACAGCCTTTTGCAAAAATTATGAGAATTGTCGAAATATCTAAATATCATAATATCGATTGCATTATGGGTAATCCCGCGCGATGCCCTTAGTCCCTTGTCTTTGTAGCTTAGTTTTTTTTTGGTGACAGACTTATCCGTAGTTCTGAACATTTTCTCGATGTCAACAATGAATTATTCTAGCAAACCCGCGTGTTCCGGACAATATATGGATATGGATATTATGATATTTAGATATTTAGACAATTCTCATAATTTTTGCAAAAGGCTGTATATAT